CCCCACCCCCCAGGACTCCTGGTCCCATCTACGACCTCTTCAAATGGACATTTGGAAGAGAGCCATAGAGAGAGAACGATTGCTCTTATCCAGAGCGCGGGCTTTTGTGAACTCCGAGCTGAAAGAAGCTGGCATATCAACTTCAGTGGCCCCACAGTTTGGCCAAGTTCTCTCAGTTCAAACCACCACCGGTCAATCAATCAAGCAATTAACCACCCCTACTAACAAGCCAATCAACCTATTAATTAATCTACTGTAACACGACCTTCAGCTCAGTACTGACCATCACATTCATCAAAAGAGTTGAGAGTTTGTAGCAACTTGGTGCAACAATCGCTATGTTATTCTTGGTCGGGGGTAATGAATGGCATATTGAGTAAGAGCTGAGTCTACCTACCCTATAACGTGCGCGCACAGCAACAATCCAGGAAAAGGTGGTCCCCCCCACGATCATTTGAATCAATGGTCGAATCGAAGACTGTGCAAGCGAAACGGTTAGTTCTGTATCAGTTGACAAGAGAGACAGCAAAGGGCAAACACATTTGTTTGCAAAATTGCAATCCGGTACTTTTTTGACTTCGTCTCCAGGGGCAACTTTGCAAGTGGCTTCGTCGGAAAAGACGATCGAGAGAATGAGCTGATAAGAAGTCATCAGACAGGCTCTCGTCAGAGACGGACAGAAGCAGCAATACTCGTGTGTAAGCGGGGCAATTTCTGCCGACTACAAAGAAATGCCCCGTCTTAACCCACCAGTCCCCATAGCACCCTGCTGTGATGCACACTGGCCCCGCACCAGAACCTGCCAAACGTAAAAAGGTTCATCGTCGGACTCCCGATCCAGCAGTGAAGGTCTGTGCAGAACCTCCTGGAAGTAGAAAGCGCACAAATGCCAACTCAGCCGAGGGAGGGGGCTGCAAAGAGAGTGGTGATTCACAGAAGCTAGAAGCGTTCGCTCTGTGATGACCATGTAGTTGTAGCCGCCGGGGTAATCCGATTCAGAAGCAAAGCGAAGAGGGGGGAAGGGGCCAGGACATTAGAAAACAAGGCCAGAACGCGCAAAAAGAGAAACTAGCAAGTCTCTGAAGTCTGCAACGCAAGCCCGTGAGAAAAGCCCGAAGGTTGAGGACGTAAAGGTGAAATTAAGATAGAGAAAAAAAAAAAAAAAGGGTGAGAAGAACAGAACAGCAATAGAAATGGGTGGAAAGGGCGATCGCGACAGGAGGGTTGGTGGTGGTTCTGTCATCGAGGTTTGCTTCGTTTCCTAGCCTCATTGTACAATACTACGCCAATCAAAGTGATGCCAAATCCAACCATTCCCATCACCGTAACAGGGTTCCGGAAGAGCAGAACGGAGACGAAAACCGCGATTGCTGCCTTCGCATTCCCTAGCACCTGCAACGTCAGCGGGCTGGTATGCTTCGTCACGAGGAAGTTAAAGAGATTGACAGAGAAAGCCATGGTCATATTGGCAAATAGGAGGGGGATGATAAACAAGCTCTCCTGAGATTTATAGAAAGTTAGAACAGCAACGTTCCCCTCGAGAATAAGGGTGGCGGGAAGAAGAACCAAACATGCAACAGGTGCCATGTACAGGAGCAAATTCAATGAGTTGAGCTTCTCAGACTCGGACGTAAGAAGCATGCCCTGTACGACGGACTTCAGAGCACGACCGGACGTTGACGTGATGCACATCAAGAACCCAAACAGATCGAACAACGGTTCGAAGTTGCTTGCGATCACAATGCCAAGAACGACGGGAATTAAGGTTAAATACGTGGCCCGGGACTCGCGCTTGAACATAATCAAGACAGCAAAGATCGCAGTGAAGAAGGGGGTGGTCGCGCCTACCGCCTGATTAAAAGAAACGGGCAAGTAACGGAGAGAGACATTACCGGATACAACGGAGATAGAGAATATGACGCTCAAGGAAGCAATCTTGAGGAATTGGCGCCGGGAGGTCAAGAACTGCATAGGGACAATTTGGAACCATGCAACGGAAACGTAGCTGTAGACAAAACAGGCACACATGTGGAGCATTGTGAGAAAGATAGGGTACTTGTACCCATAATTACTAAGAAGGTATTTGTTAAGTAAAAGAACACCGATGTTAGAGACATACCAGGCAATTACGACAAGCACTGTGATTACTTTGCCGGGTAATCGACTTAGTCGAAAGGTACTAGATGAACCTAAAGGCAAAGCGGACGAAGGGAGGAGGGGATCCAGAGAGCCCATCACTGTCTCGTCTTCGGATTCACTTTTTGCTACCTTTTTCATCCATCTCTGGAGCTCCACCATAGTACGGTAGATGGTGGTCCCACTCCTCCCACCACCCACCACCTTCCGTGTACCCAAGCCAGCGCCACGCTTGGAACCCACCCCAAGCAAATGCCTAAGATTCCCGACTTTACCGTACCCGTTCGCCAGGATGATCCCCCTCAGGTTCACTATGCAAAGCACTCCTCTGCCAAGGACTCCCTCAAACCACCACAAAGCCTCCCTCTTCCACTTACCTCTCTCCTCCACAGGTCTTTCGATTCCCCTGTCAGCACCCTCTCTCTCTCTCTCTCTCTCTCTCTCTCTCTCTCTCTCTCTCCACTTCTGTGAGCAGTCACAGCAATTCACAACAAAAAGAAGTGGGTGCCACAGCAGCAGACCATTTCACCTTCCTCGACTCCCACATTGTTGTTGTGCACATTATGTGTTATCAAACAAACGGTACAAGTAAAAGTGCGATATTGTTGTCCCTTGCTGATCCAGGGGGTTCTGGAGCCCAAGTACCGCACTGGACTCTTTCCCCCCTTCTTTGCCAATCTCTTCCTTCAACAGCTCAAAGGCGTTGTTATGTTATCGTTTTATCCGTTTTGTTTCACCCTTCATTTTTTCTCATGCAGTGACTCTCTGACTTCATCACAGATTTTCTCTTTCAACCTGTTTATGGAGAGCAAACCAGAGCGTTTAATCTTCTCTCCTCACGTCTCCTGCATGCCAGCTGTGCTCCCATAAGCACAAAGGGAAGAAAGCAGAATAAACTGCCCTTCCAGTCAGTTCTACGAGTACACACCGATATGTAAACCCGCGTCGACTACAACAGCGCGCCGATCTGTGGGGAAGCAGAAAATCCAACAGAAATCGACAGCAACAATCAGTTACTTCAGTGCGTACAGACAACCCACTGCCACTGTCATAAACCACAACTACAACAAAGAGAACAGCCATAGAGAAACTTTTAAGGAAAGAAGAAAACTCCAAAGAAAAGCAAGCAGTTCTATATAAAACCACCAGTGAAAGGTGATTTGAAAAAAGAATATAGCTCAGTTAAAAAACAAAAGAAAGAGAACAACAAGACCACCAGGGAATCCACATGCATACGTATAGACACACAACAAGTGAACAAATGAGGTGCAACAGTTCTGTTAAACACAGCCCCGTAGTCGGGTGCCATAAACAGGTGGCTGTTTGTTCAAAGAAAGCAAAATTACAACAACAGCTTACCTTGCCCATGTGGCTGAGTGGTATACCCATGAGCTGCCGATAAACAGACAACAAAGTCAAGTCCGACTTCTCAAACGAGTTTTCACAGTTTGACAATGTAAACACAAAGGGCCTCGCTCCACGACTACTCACCTGATGCATAAAAGACGAACAAAAAGATGGCGGTGTATCTTCCCATCTTCTAGCGGATGGCGGTGTATCTTCCCATCTTCTAACGGACGATTCTTTCTCATTTCACTCATTTGGTGAGCAGGGGAGCAAGGCCCGAATTCACGGTTTGCCCAAGGCTGTGCACACCACCAGAAGCACTAGTGCACAAAGCACAAGGGTTCCCTTCCTATGAAAACAAACATAAAAAATGTGAAGCAAGGCCAGAGTTCTACCAGACAAGTTCAGCTCTATGTAAGCCACAGCCCGAAAACGCGCTGTGTTTGCTTGCAAAAGAGTTTCATCCTGCAGCTCAGTGCTCACAAACACCTGCCATTACCCGAAAAGAGCTTTGTGAGTGTTGTCAAAATGCTGCGATTTTGTGGAAACCGATTCCACAGCGTGTTTTCACGCTCTTCCAGCAAGCCATTGTGACCACTACTGGCCAGAACGCCCTGTCATCATCGCCATATCTAGACTGAAAATTGCCTCAAATACATATATAATGACCGGCATTATATTCGGGTGAAGGCGGTAGCGAACACTAGCCTACTCTACTAATCCTCCCTTCTCGCTCAGCGTCCCTCACCACAATTCTGCTCCCACCAAGTTCCAGTTAAGGAATGTGAATTCCTGGATATCTCATGCCGCAGACCAACCACATAAGAAGTTTTCCTTCATCTTCCCCACAGATCCCCTCCTCCCAATGAACTGGTTCATGTACATATCCGGCAGGAAGGTGCGGAGACTCCGCTGAAAAGGAGTCCTGATGTGACAAATGACATTTACTGTTCAGCTCCTTGCTGGTAGCAGTTCAGTGCCCCTTTGCCTAGATTAGGTGAAGTTGAGTCAGTTGACACAGCCTTTATTTGTTCCAGCTGCACATGTGTTGTAGTCGAGAATAAGGGCTGTTCGAATAGAACGCATGTGTTCTATTCAAATAGAATAGCAACCCATGCGTTGTATTCGTTTACAACACAAATGCGCTATGTTCGAGGGAAGACTGGAGGAGTTCCATGCACATATCCGGCAGGAAGGTGTGTGCAGAGACTCCACCGAAAAGGAGTCCTTATGTGACAAAATGACATTTTCTGTTTTGTCCTTCCTGGTAGCAGTTCAGTGCGCCTTTGCCTAATCTTCGAGGGAAGACTGGAGGAGTTCCACGCACATATCCGGCAAGAAGGTGCGGAGACTCCACTGAAAAGGAGTCCTTATGTGACAAATGACATTTTCTGTTTTGTCCTTCCTGGTAGCAGTTCAGTGCACCTTTGCCTAGATTAGGTGAAAGTTGACACAGCCTTTACTTGTTCCAGCCGTTGATGTCGCGCTTAGTCCAGCAGACTAAGAAGGTTCCATTTTTTCCTAGCCAATCTGGATGAGTTCACAGTTTCAATGCCACAGTCTGAATCTTCCCCACCCTCCATTACATTACATCACAACGCAAGATTACATCCTCGACACTACTTCACAGTTTCACTGCAGTTGCCTATTCAGTTCCCTCTTCCAACTGTTCCTTTTTTTTTTTTTTTTTTTTTTTTGTTGAACACGGGAGTCAAATTCTCTACCCTTCATCTTACAGGACGTACCCGTCTTTCAAAGTGGGGGGGTCCCCGTTAACCACTTGTGGCTACACACAGTAGACAACTTACGCCAGTCGTCTAGCCGGAAATTCAGTTGGCTCTCTTAACTCTACTTAGTTCAACACAGGCGTCAAATTCTCTGCCTGTAAGCATACATGAAGTGCAGGCCAGGGGTGGAATAGTCCTTCATATACACAGGCATCAAATTCTCTGTCTGTCGTAGCCTTTTTTACAAAGTCCGTTCCGTCATTTAGCTACTACACAAAGCAGACGACCTATACCAGTCTGCTAGCCAGGGGTGGAATCGTCCAGAAATGAAGCATCCCGATCGGCGTAAAAGAGGCTATTGCAATTTGCAACGACCCGCACAAAAAAAAAGGGTAGTCCGAAACTTGCGCAATTTTCTGAGAAATGGTGCCTTCGGTTCGGATTTCTAAAGAGTTCGATTTTTTTTCTGTGTTTGTCACAACTCGTTGCGTTTGTCGCGACTCGCTGTGTTTCCTAGGTATGTATGTGATGTATGTGATCTGCTATTAACGTATGTGTGGTGTGGTGTGTGCTTGCTAGAGTCCGAGTCTGGATCAGTGAGCTACTAACCCTGTTGGGCGTGCTGTGTGGCTGTGCCTCTGAAGGGGCAAGTAGCAAATAGGTAGGATTATAAGGACAGGACTGAAATTGGGGACGGAACGGACTTTGTAAAAAAGGCTACGACAGACAAGGACAGAAGTACAATTTGGCTAATACCCAATAGGGGATTTTCCAGCAGCTCGGATCGGTCCAAGTGAGTCCCCAGTAGGCTTATATAGAGAGGTCCGGTAGCTTCCAAAAGAGGTCAGACTCCCGCACCTACCGTCTTCACCCGAATAGAACGCCCGGTCATTAAAGCTGTATTTGGGGCAACTTTCAGACCATATACGGCGATAATGACAGGGCGCTTTATTCAGGTGAAGACAGTAGGTGGATCTCAAGTTGGATAGGCCCCGAAATAGGATTTCAGACAGAAATGATGTTCCCGCCAAAAGGCAGGAACTTCTGGTACTTCTGGTAGGCCTACCGTCTTCCACCGAACACAACGCACCCTCATTTTGACAGTATCGAGACGGAAACACGCCTTGCATACGTTCAATTTCAGGGTGCGTTATGTTCGGGGGAAGAGAGTAGTGCACACAAGTGGGGAGCAGTACTTGGCCAGGAAGGTCTGGAGGCCGGGCAGGCAAAGCTACATCACTCCGGTCTCCGGTCAATTAGCAGTTTGCTCATTCACCCGACAGTCATGCTGCTGCACCGCCCAGCGGAAGAAGTCGGCAGAGCTCCTGGAGTTTGAAAGTGGAGCTGGATGGTGAAAGAAAAGACCTCCATGGCCATGGAGTAGGGAGAGTAGGTGTAGAGAAGACCTCCATGGCCATGGAGTAGGGAGAGTAGGTGTAGAGAAGACCTCCATGGCTATGGAGTGGTAGGGAGAGTAGGCGTACGTCTAGGCTATGGAGGTGAGGGAGATGGGTCTCTAACCGGGTTATGGAGTCGCAGAGGGGCTGTCAAAGGCGGAAGGCGGTGGGAATCCGGAAGAAGGTGCGGGGTGGCGAGAAGAAGACTGGACTTTTACATCTTCAGTTTCATGGTAAGCACTGCATCAAGAAGGCCCCTGTAGGGGTACCGCTTAGGCATCGACTTCTAAGAGGATAGACTTGGCAGTAGTCGAGAGGAGAGAATACGAGTGTACTTGGTATTATTGTTCAAATACCCGATGTAGCCTTGGATGTACCCCCACCGGTCCACCATATCTAGTAGCCATACCAAGGTGAAAGTGAGGGGAAGTGAGCTGAAGCAGAGCTCTTTCCAAGGCTGCCGACAATCGGACATTCATTCTGGTTCATTCATTCATTGTTGTTGTTAGATATTCTCTTAAGTCCATTGGACGTCATAACGACGGAGAGATTATGCTCAGAGGGAGACAACTTCGTTCCAACTTTTCTTCTTCTTCTTCTTCTTCTTCTTCTTCTTCTTCGTCGTCGTCGTCGTCGTCGTCGTTGTCCTCTTTCTTCTTCTTCTTCTTCTTCTTCTTCTTCTTCTTCTTCTTCTTCTTCGTCGTCGTCGTCGTCGTTGCCGCCGCTGTCGTCTTTCCTAGACTCGTTCTTCTTCTACTCGAGTTGCTACGAATGGCGTTGTCTCATCTTTGAGTTTTGCATTGGTGAAATGGGCAGGATTATAACACTGCCGTGGAAGGATACTGACAAGTTGTGACAACCATGGACAACAGCACTGCGGTGAGAGTAGGAATCACAGCTGAAGGTTCCCTCTCTTCGAGCCCTGTTTTCTTCTTCTTTTCTTCTTCTTCTTCTTCTTCTTCTTCTTCTTCTTCTTCTTCTTCTTCGTCGTCGTCGTCGTCGTCATCGTCGTCGTTGCTGCCGCTGTCGTCTTTCCTAGACTCGTTCTTCTTCTACTTGAGTTGCTATGAATGGCGTTGTCTCATCTTTGAGTTTTGCATTCGTGAAATGGGCAGGATTATAGCACTGTCGTGGAAGGATACTGACAAGTTGTGACAACCATGGACAGCAGCACTGCGGTGAGAGTAGGAATCACAGCCGAAGGTTCCCTCTCTTCGAGCCCTGGTATGTGCAAGCCGAAATTTGAACTGAAGAGCGGACTCCACGGACTGGATTGACTAAATGGCAAAAGAAAAAAGAAAAAAAGGTATCTATAACACCGCCAGATGCAACGCTGGCTGGAGCTGGGGTGGGTCGTACTGCCTTGTAACCTAGACTTGTTGGGGGTATGACGCCTGATAGAGACCTGGTTTAGCGTGCATTCTATCACACAGCTTTAGCGGGGTGGGTTTCTGGTTGGTTTGTTGGGTCACTCTTGGGTATCTTGGCTTTCTGTA